ACGAGTAGACAAGGAATGCTGTAACCTTCCCACCAAGGTGATATCTATTTATTTACTCACATTTTACATGCTTCCAAACCGCTAGATTGGCAGGAGCTGGGACAAGCGACGGGAACTCACTCCGTCGCGTGGATTCGATCTTATGACTGCTGGTCTTCTGACCCTGCAGGACAGAGGCTTCTGCGGTTTAACCTGCAGTGCCACCACATCCCCGCATAATTTCTTATGATAAAACTTCTCAGTAATTATGCATAAAATTGCTCTGTAAGTTAGCTGCACTTAGTTTTGATTGAAATCAATGGGGCTTAAGTCAAGCCTACTTTGATCTATGTCATTTGTAGATGTGTGGATCTAATTTTATAAACAACCTCAATCTCACCGACCTGGGAGTATGCCCCATTGAACATAATAGGATTTACTTCTGCGTAGACATGTACAAGATCATGCTGTCAGTCTAGGTACAGTGCTATGCTTTTTTTCAACTCTGCTCTCGTGATGCATCTGGAAAAGCAAAGGAGTTTGTCAGTAATACATATTTCTGCCCTTCATTATATCAAGTTTCTTACCATTTTGTTAACAAAGTGGAATGTTGTGGCTTAAAGCAATGAAATTTATTTATAGATGGTCAGCATTTGTATTTGTTGAGCATCTATAAACAAGCCTCCCAAATGACAGGCAAATACAGGAGGGGTGAAAGACATATGCAGACAAAATGCTTGGGGCTAAATTCAATTGTTAGGCACAATCCAAGCAGACCTGCTTGAATGCATGAGACCTAATAAGTCAACACCTATGTAAGTCCCATTGATTCAAGGAATCTATTTAATGGGGACCAAACAATTGGATTTTGCCCATGGGCTTTGTAGATGCTGTCCCTCGTATCTGGTGTGTATCCTGTATGACCGAGCTGAATAAGGTGTAGCTTCTGGACCATATATTTTACTAAAAAAAAAAGGCCACTAAAGAAGATGAAGAGGGTTTTCCCCCAGTTTTTTTTAAAAAACAAAACTTTTTCATAAGACAAAAATTAGGGGGGTGGTCACAGGATGTGGCCCTGGAAGAGGCAGGAGTGGGGATGTGCAACTCCTGGACCTCTGGAGATTGCCCAGCAGAGGTCTGGGGGACTGAGGTTAAAGGAACAGAGACAGTCCTACCACGAGACACAGGGCCAGTTAGCCACCCCAAATGAGATGTCACAAAAGGGCAGCAGGGAATGCCTAGTTAACAGAAAACTGATATTTCCTGCCAGGGATGTGAAAAAAAACATGGGGGATTTTTTATTTTGCTTCACTTCCCCAAATGTCTTGGTTGGTTTTGGATATTATACAGAAACAACTTGAGAAGACACCATTATGCTATTCTGCACACTGACCTGGGCCAGCCCTGCAAAGGAGCGTCAGAGAAACATACAAAGCAAACCTGCAAGGCTGGAACGTCTTTCTTTTTTCCACTACCGATCCCAGCATCCCTAAGGCAGCATGCCGGCCGACCATGTTGTCCGGGTGTTCCGATTACTATAAAAAAAAAAAAAAAAAAAAAAAAAGAGGAACCTTGCCCAGATTTCAGACGCCCTTCCTTCCAAACGGATCAGCCAGCCCTGGGTGGGACCGCAGGGTGTCCACGCGGATCCCTTTTGCCAAGGTTACATAATTGGACTCCTTCCGGGCGCCCCCCCACCTTCTAGTCTACCAGCTGTTCCTCCGGTCCGGAGTTAATGAACGCCCGGAGGTGCCAAAGGGGAGGAGGTTCAGGCGGGTTGCGCTGGTGCTGCTCATCGCCCTCGCTAGGCGGCTCCGCTCCGAGGCTGGCGCTGCTCGCTTGGACCCCGACCCGCTACTTGGTTGCCGGTCCAGAGG